CTTTCACTGTTTTGTTGTGCAATCGCTAAAACTCTTTCGAATATTTTCCGAGTCAACAAGGTAATTATGAATATTTCGAATAATCTTTAAATAGAACGAGTATGAATCTTTTGGATAACCAAAATCGAACCCAAATTTTTAAATACTATGATAGATATTATATTCCTAAAACGGAGACCCCGATATCTGACCTGAAATTCGAATGGTTACCCGAATATCCATGTCTAGTTCAAACGACCTTTTTATCAAAAGTCTGTTTGCAAACGAAGTTGCAAACGACCGTTTCAACCACCCGTTCAAACGATCGTTTGATTGGTAACAAACCGGCGGTTGAAAGGTATCTCGTTTGCAAACGTGGTAACCAATCGAAGCCTTAGTAGTGTGATTGGTTTTATATTGAGAGACGAATAGTTTCAATAGAAGGGAAAGAAGTCAACTCAAATTTTATAATAAGATATTAATTTATTATGGAATTTATTAATTAGTGAAAGATTATTTTGGTGATTATAACAAAAAAAATGTAAATATGATAATGCAACTTTCATTTATTTTTATGTTTGTAGATCTTGTGGTATTATATTATTTTATGAGATATTAGTCCATTCATAAATAAAAATGATGATATTTAAATAATAGCAATGGATTTTTGTTTTTTTTTTTATAAAGAAAAGAAGAAATGGATTTTATTGTTCAAGGAAACGAAAAGCCAAAATGGAGAGCGTAACTCTAGTATTTTATTTGCTCCCACCATCATGTAACATCGTCGTCCCTTTTCACTATTTTGTAATAAGATGTAAGGAATCCGAATTGTCAAACAGAAATGAGTTGTATGTTTTAGTGACATAGTGTTCATCATTTGGTTAGCAAATATAGTAGATCCAAACTCCGGTAGTATTAAAAATTGTCAAAAGAAAAAAAAAAAATGTCATGCCAAGGTTTGACTTTAAATTTTCCAAATATAAAAATATATTGGGACATCACTCATTTAGGCCTCTTGGCATATACAAATATTGTATTTATTCCATGCATACCCACGATAGTATGTAATATATACATAATAAATCTTTGAGAATATGCAAAAGCCATCATTGAAGATGCATGATGTAGCCGATCTATCTGAAGCCAAAATGTTTATCAGCTAATCCGAGGTTATCTTCATGATAGTGATCATGTAACTCACTTCTGCTGAATAATTCATTGAACAAAAGAAAAGTAGTGAATTTTCTACATATGCTTCTACTCAAATATATTCATATGTTATCCTTAAAAGCAACAATAAAATTATGAAAGATAGGCGACTGAATAAATAATTAATTT